TGGTATATGACTGTTCATTATTCTTATTATTTTCTTGCCTGGTCCATTATACTCCTGCTATGAGCAAAACTATCCAGTATTTTTCTTTTTCTTTCTGGCTTATCTCACTAAGCATGATCTTTTCCAGCTCCATCCAAATTGCTGCAAAGTGTGTATTTTTTTTTTCACATGTGTATGTGTAACCTTATGTATGGGTTTCTAAGAGAATTAACCTGTGACTAAAGGAAATTAGTTAGTACTTACTGGAAATTCTTCAGAAGAGGAAAATTCAGGCTTTACTTATTCAGTTTCCAGGCATTTATGCTGTTGATTAGTTTATGCGGGAGAGCTCATTTGTGCATTATTCCCAGAGCAGGTGAGAGTTTATAAAACTCCTGTCTGTCTGTCTGTCTGTCTGTCTGTCTGTCTGTCTGTCTGTCTGTCTGTCTGTCTATCTAATCTGTAGAGATGGATGGATATCTTGCCCATCTCTCTTATTTCTTGCAGGTAGTGCCTTATTTATAACATGTATAGTTTGATTTGCATTTAAGAGCATGCCCTTATGCCCAGCTGTACTAAATCAAGGACTTCTCTGCATAATGTTGATGAATCAAACATCTCTACTGGATTAGAGATGACTCTGCAAGACGTGCGAAATATACTATATAAGATTTTTCATTTAAATGCAGTCCAGGTGATAAATCACTACTGTGCCATAACCTGACCAGAGACAGGCTTTCTTATTAGTTCTGTCTGTGTCATTCACTACCTCTACTGGCTACTTTCAGGGCTATCATGTGAGAAATGAGGCACAGAATGGAACTGCGTGGGCATCTTTCTGTACAAATAGTGCTAATGAATAACAGCTACATTTCGTACTCACCAGCAAATTTTCTGTAATATCTAATAAACTACAAACAGACAAGTCTTTGAACCAGCCTTAAAGTAATACCCTTTAAAAAGTATGGAGGTCAGTTGTTCTGCTGTGAATAAAATTTCTGGGAGACTTTTCTGTCACTGTTTTCTGAGTCCTTAAAATATTAGTTATAAAACAAAAAGTGCCCTTTATTTCTATTCTTTAGATACAGAGTTTTCCAGTGGAGGTTACACTTCATATTCACCTTTGGAACTATGATTATGTCCATAACTAGAAATTTTGGTTTAATAAGTTTGAATTGAATCACTGCACCTATCACCTATTTTTTTTTTTAAGATTTATTTATTTGTGCATACAGAATTGGGGTACAAGCCAGAGGTGCAAGGGCGGTGAGAGGCTTCACCAGAGACAGCGTGGGGAGCAGAACAGGCAGATCGTCAAGGTACACTGCTCAGGGGAACAGCAGGCAGGTCAGGAGAGATCAGGACACGCCATGTGGGTCACCTCTGGGGCAGGGATCAAACTCATGTGGAAGTGGCTTTAGCTTCTCAGAGCTGTGCTTTAACCTGCTGTGCCACCAGGGAGGGCCCTGCACCTATTTTGTAAAGATGTTTCTCATAGACAAGCTTTTAGTTGGATATTACCACCAACTGACATTTGAATTGTAACATACATATTCTGTATATGTGGAGGAAAATTTCATTGAAACTGGTTCTCTGGGTTCATAGAAGAATGTAGAAGGTAGCTAGCTAGAATTTAGCTATAAGTGAGAGTTTTAGATCTTAAAAGGAACCAGCCTAACCCACTTTTCTTCACAAATAAAAAGGGCAGAGAGTTGAAGGCATTTTCATAGTTGGTAACAATCAAATATTAGATCTAAGCTCTGACTTGTGCTTTTTCTAGCCATCCAAACCCTGGAACTACCATCCCTGAGAAAAGATTCAAAGCCACTCAGTAGTTTAGAAATTCTTGAGCATCCCAAAGTCTGCCTTGTTATTGCAAAGTCTCAGGGTATTTAATAAAAGTAACAATGAAGCCAGAATGGCTCCTCACATCTTTGAATATTTGAATGACATAACTCATAGTTAGAAGTTACAGCTGACATCCAAATGCTTTGGTGACTTCTTTGTATACATGGAAATTTCTGACAAGAAATGCCTACTTTTACTACTAAAGATTGTTAAGAACAAGAAGATCAATTTTTTCATTTAAAATGATCCATGGGGCCCCTCCCTGGTGGCGCAATGTGCTAAAGTGCAGCACTATGAAGCTACCACAGCCACTGCAGCATGAATTCGATCCTCAGACAGTAAGGTGACCCACATGGCACAGCAGACTTCTCTTGTCTCACCCAGTGCTCCCCTCAGCAGTGTATTTCAACATATCTGCCTGTTCTGCTCCCCACTCTTGTCTCTGGTGAATACTCTCACCCTCCCCATACACCTCTGGCCTGTACTCCAGTTTTGTATGTCTAAATAAATAAATCTTTAAAAAATTATAAATATAAATAAATAAGGTGATCCGTAGGTATTTGGGGCTTCCCTCACGGCTTAAAGGGTTAAGTGTCAGCAGCACAATAAAGCTATCAAACAGCTACTGCAGCACAAGTTCAATCCCCTGCCAAAGAGCCAAACCACATAACTCAGCCCTCTCCTGTCTTACCTACTACTCAGCAGTGGATTTCAGTCAGGCTGCCTGCTCCCCACTCTGTTGGTGAATCCTCTCCCACCACACACAAGCCTTTGGCCTATACCCCAGTTCTTGGGTGCATAAATAAATCTTAAAAATAAATAAATAAAGTGATCCTTAAAAATTTGGAAGCAAGTCTAGCAAATTATGCCAGTGTATTTCAAAGCAGACCTGAGTTTGAGTTTCAGAAGACTATATATATCTATTATTAGGATTTGGTTTGGTTGTTAAAAAATACAGCTAAAAAATGAAGGTTGGTTATTTCCTTTGGATTAAAAATGTTGGGAAGCCCAGAATTAGTCTGTGTACTTCACAGCCATCAGGAATTCCAGTTCTTCTCTTTCTTCTGTCCATTCTTGGTACTGTGTCACATCTTTACATGTCTGGTAGTTCTAGATGGTTTGAGGAGCATTAACCATCATCAGACCTCCATTTGAGTCAGCTCCCTTGAAAGAGTTTCTCTTGAAGTATCCACCTAGCAATTTCTATTTCCTTTTCACTGGCCATCCCTATTATCAAAGGAGGCCAAAAAGTTATAACAGAGCAGGTTGCTATTCTCAATTATTTGAAGTTATGTTAAGGAAGAATGATGAAATGTCAACTGGGCAGACAGCTAACAGATCTATTATAACCTGTTTTGAAGAATATGAAATTTATATTAGAAAAGTTAACTTAGTGACATCAAAAACTATTACATAGATTCTAAATTGAAAAGATGCTCAGTCTGCTTCTACTATGTGCCTGATTAAACCTAGGAATAAACTCTATATTAGTGTTCTGCTTTGAATTTCTCAGAACTCATTGGGGTTTGTATATTTTAAATAAACTGAATGAGTTTTTCACAACAGGAGGAAAAAGACATTTTGAATTAAATCCTGTTTCCTCTTGGAGATGGAATCATAACAACCACAAGGACAATTGAATGAATGTTGATAGTTCTAGTAGAAGCAGAGTGTACTGTATTAGATAATAGGAGCTAGGAATGAACATATTAAAATATGTTCAAGTTGTTTAGCATCTAGATGAAACACCATAAACTGATGCAGCCCATGAAATAGTTAAACATATGTTATAACAATGCACCACCAATTCTAGAGATTCGTACCCTAGAGGTACAAATGGGCACGCTGTTAGAGTACTAGATTTTTTTAATTATTATTATTCTAATTGGACTGCCGTAACAAAATATCACAGATTGGGTAACTTATAAACAACACAAATTTATTTCTCTCAGCTCCAGAAACTGGAAGTCTGAGGTGTCACTATGGTTCACTTCCATGAAGGCCCTCTCCTGGATTGCAGGCTGCTGACTTCCTGCTATGTCCTCACACAGTGAAGGGGACTACAGAAAATTACAAACTCTCTTCTAAAGGACACTAATCCTTATAGGCTCTACCCTGATGACCTAATTGACACCCTAAGCCCCACTCCTTATATCATCACCGGGGCATTTGGTTTTCAGCATACAAAGTTTGGGAAATTTTGTATGATAATCGCATATAGCATTACCTTCTCTTTATCTTACCTGTACATGAAAAGAAAATGGGAAGATGGAGTGAATTTTGATGTCTAAAATATTTGGAAGCAGTAGCTAGCAGCAGTTTGTGGCATATACAACTGTAGACCATGGTATACATAAATACATAAAGTAGAAGTGTTTCTGCTCCTGGAGACCAGATTTTTAAAATATTCTGTGGTCTCATTCTTATCTACTGTTAATGTGGTGCCATTTAATGTATATTTACTGAGTGCTTAATATTTACAATACACTGAGGGAATTCATTTGTAAATTATCACTTAGGTAAGAAACCGTACATTTTGGCTTCTTAAAGCTGTGAATTTCAGATCTAGGGAAAATCCAACCTTGTGATTACCCCTCCCTTTATTTTTCCTTTCATAATTATGTATCAGTAATCAAACCCTGTAGCTGATAGAAAGCAGGCTCCTCACGAGAAGGGCCAGGTTGCAACCTTTGACTTGATCCCTTCAGTCTGTTTCCCTTGGGCAGCAGTTGCAAACAGCTCATGTGGCAGTAAACAGAGGGCATGCTAACGAAACTAGCTAATGCAGCAAGTGGTACAGCCTTGCCTTTGACCTCAGTGAGCCCATCCTTTGAACCTTTTATGATAGTATACTTTTGAGCATCCTTGGGGGAGAATAGTTACTTTGATCCACCAACAGATAAGGAGTCTTCTCTGTCTTACATAACAATGGAAGTACATATGGCACTTTGACATTAGCTGCTTATTCGAATACAGCAATGATTTAGCCTTTCCCACCCATTATTCATTCCCTTTGAAACTGTAGAATTCAATTTAAGTTCTTTAGTAGGGATTATGAAAGAAAGTAGTAATCTCATAAGTTGTACTTTTTAAATTATTTTAGTGCTGGTACAGCTGTCTCATATTTTGTTTTTTGTGTCACCAATTCTGTATCCCATTTCCTCTGCTTTCAGGTGAAGGTCTCCCACAGGTATATTACTTTGGACCATGTGGGAAATACAATGCCATGGTGCTGGAACTCCTAGGTCCTAGCTTGGAGGACTTGTTTGACCTTTGTGACCGAACTTTTACTTTGAAGACTGTGTTAATGATAGCCATCCAGTTGGTAAGTTGATATCACCATTATGAACAAGGATAGATGGGTCCACCAGGGATGTTCCTGTGTACTTATTGGCAATTTACCGGCTGTAATGACACCTAGTAAATTCATATTTACAGACTTGATGGCATTCTAGGAAGCTGACTGGAACAAAAAGGGTGATTTATAGAGAAGTCACACTGCATCTGCTGTTTGCTCTACTTAAAAATGTGTACCTTCAAGCAATACCCTCTCCTCAACTGAAGTGGAAACATACATATAATTTAGATTAGGGAGAAAGATGATGATTAGGTGAAATTATACAAATGCAAGTATTTTTTGATGTTTTATTTGTAAGATTTAAGCACTTGGCTGTAAGATTTCATCCTCACTCTTCCCTCATTCTTACATCCAAGAAAAGATGGTGGTGACCACACCCATTACCTCAACACTCAGATTCCCAAATTGTGTGACCAAAAACATACCTTAGTTCTCTGGCTTCCAGTTCTTATCAGAGACTGACACAGCTAAAAAAGCTATTCTCTTAGGTACTATCAAATTACACACCATTGCCAGCTCAAAGAGTAGTGAAGACAGTCCTTTGAGAAGTTTGTCAGCCTCTCAGAGGCAGGATGTAGTGGCATCTTAATTGATTTGAAATTATAATGGTTGTCCTTACTGTCTAGTGAAGACTTGAAAAGGTTAAAAAATTGACCTTGACCTTTCAGTCCAAAATTCAAATGTCTGAGCTTTTCTTTCTATACTAAATAGATCAACTTTGTAAATAAAAATGAGCTTAATGAAATTTGAAATAATTTTATGATTATTATTTGGTGCTATATTTTCTTAAGCATAAAAACTTCTACCTCTGCTACTAACTAGCTGCATGATATTAGTCCAATCTTCGCTTCTTTGGATCTCTCTTCCCTTATTTATGCAACAGAGAGAGGTGGACTCTGAGAAGGCCTGTCAGAGTTGAAGGTGGCACCTGTCTGCCAAGGCTGACAACACCTTCTGATATCCTATCTGGGAATGTTTCTTGCCTCTCAAATGGTTACCTTCTAAAGGCATTTAAAAGCAACTAAATGTGTTTATTTGTACATTGTGACATTATGAAGTAAACTAGCTTTTTAACAGAACTGTCCCATCCAGCTTTCTTTTATCTTAATGTTACATATGTACTTGTATCACAAATATTTTCTGGTTTACAAGAGTAAAGTGACTCTTAATTAGTTTTATTTTTTTATGTCAGTAATTAAGACACTGGGCTAATTTAAGAAAGTGTCTTATTTTCCAGTATATTTCCTTAGAATATTTCCTTTTTTTTCTCTTTTAGCTTTCTCGAATGGAGTATGTGCACTCAAAGAATCTTATCTACCGAGATGTCAAGCCAGAGAACTTCCTGATTGGCAGACAAGGCAATAAGAAAGAACATGTGATACACATTATAGACTTTGGACTGGCCAAGGAATATATTGACCCTGAAACCAAAAAACACATACCATATAGGGAGCATAAAAGTTTAACTGGAACTGCAAGATATATGTCTATCAACACTCATCTTGGCAAAGGTGTGTTTATTTTCTGCTCACAAAGGGTGTAGGTTGTTAAAACAAATCTATTTCAATAACTTTTTTGTTCCCATTGTCCATTACAACTTTGATTCTTATTGCTTTACAAGGTAAGTGATTTTTATATTTGAGAAGTGAAGATGTTAAGTTAATGACTTTCCTTAGCATCCTATTGACTATGTATAGATTTTTTTTTTTAAAGATTTATTTACTTATTTACTTATAGAACTGGGGTACAGACCAAAGTGTGGCAGGTGAGAGGATTCCCCAGAGACGGAGCAGGAAGCAGAACGGGCAGATTGACAAAGTACACTGCTGTGGGGAGCAGCGGGCAGGTCAGGAGCAGTCTGCCATGCCATGTGGGTCAGTCAGCTCGCTGGCCAGGGATCAAACTCTTGCTGCAGTGGCTTTGGAGAGCTTCATAATGCAGTGCTTTAACCCATTGCACCATCAGGGAGAGACCGACAACATACAGATTTTTAATTCTTTACATTTTGCTTCCAGAAACTTAGTTTTTCTGCAGTGTGTGTGTACTTGATTTTTGTATTAAGGCAATAGCATTCTAGTAAATTTGGTAATGAGTTTGGCATTTACATAGATACCATCCAAAAAAAGTCAGTACTGAAAGGATTGTTACCTGCTCTGTGGTAGAATTATTTCACTAAGATGTGGTCTTGGCTGCTGTTCACTGTGTATAATTCAGTGAGTAATTCTTGAAGACACAACATCTGTCTTACTCACTGAGAATATTTACTTTTCCATGAGTCTTGCATTCTGTTCAGAATAGACACCTTTTACATATATTGATTAAAAACTCTTATCAAGACAGAGGACTTAACTACAAATAGTCATTGCAGGCGGTATCAGCCCAACAATCGGTGAAAAGCATCTCTGGACACCCATGTTATTTTGTCCACAGCCAGAGGGCCTTTATGATTTTCCAGAAGCCTATGGAGCTTCTTTTCCATGACTACTCTCAGGTTCTCCACTGTTAAATAGCCTTTATTTTCAGCAAATTTTGAAATGTGAACATCGTTGTTTCCATGGAGTGTTCCTTAATGATGGTATTTTTGTGAGGGCTGTTGAAATCTTAGACAGGAGGCTCAGGGAGAACACTCAGTTGGGAATCTTGGACAGTCATATTAATGAAATTTTATGCACTAACAGGTCTTTTAAAGACTAACACAGCTATCTAAACAGTGGCCTCATTGAGTAGACTGTGCAGGTATTTAAATGAGAATTCTAGTACTAGTGAAGAGTAAAAATGACATTAATACTGTCAGGGTTTTTAGCAATTACATGGAGTCCTCATTAAGTAAATGTAGCACTTTAAAATTAGACTAGAACATCCTCTGCCACACATTATCACTTTGGACAAATTTATCTTTAAAACAAGAATACTTCACAAGGATATTTTGAGGATGAAGTGGGTAATATATGTAATAAGCTCCCTTACATTGTGTTCAATATTCCTGTCAGTTTCCTTTTCACAAGGAGATAGATTGTGCCATAACTAGTAAAATGATGATTGTTTGGTTTAGATAATAAACTCTGGAAGTTGTTCCAGTGCCTGCTGCCAGGGCTCAGCAACTCATGTTCTGATTTTATTGTTAAGAAAGGCAGAAACAGACAAGGAATGGGAATCTATGTTATGTTTGTATAAGATACAGTGTAGTGGTTAAGAAAAAGGATGTGATTTCAGTGCAATATTTCCCCCTTGGCCTACTGTCTCATCTATCAAATGGGTATGATTGGTAAGCATTCTTATGAGATAAAAGGATTTTATGAGCTGATATATATAAAGTATTCATCGTAGTCCTTGATAACAGATTCTATAATAGTAATTTTTTATTCAACAAAAATTTTTTAAATAGATGCAAATAATATTTATTTTTAATTTTAGTTTCACATACAAATCAAATACTTCTGTGTGTGTGTGTTCTGTCCTAGTCAGAAATGTTTATTTATTTTTAATCATTTCTTTATTTATATACATTTGTATATATTTTACCTCAGGTGTCATCTCTATAGAATTTCTACCACCAGTTCATCTATTGCAGCATTACCTTAGTCCCTTCTGCTCTACCTGCCCATGGTTTTTTTTTAATTTATTTTTTATATATCTGTTTACATTATTGTTCATTTTATAACAATATTTACTCCCCCCCATCATCACCATAGCCCCCCACATTCCACTCTCCTCCTGATCCCTCTCTGTTCCCCTTCCTTGTAGGCTTCTCTGGTTGATAATTGTCTTTTTGTTTTTATATTATTTTGTTTTGCTTTGTATTGTAATAATACACTTTCCCCCCACCCCCATCTTATTTGGTTCTCTTAAATTCCTTCTATAAGTGAAACCATTTGATATTTTTCTTTTTCCTTCTGACTTATTTCACTGAGCATAACTCCAGCTCCATCCATGTTGCTGCAAATGACATGGGCTTATCTTTTTTGATTGCTGAATAGTATTCCATTACACATACACACACACACACACACACACACACCACATCTTCTTGATCCAGTCATTTAAGTTTTGGGCATTTGGGTTGTTTCCAGGATCTACCTATTGTAAGTAGTGCTGCAGTAAACATAGGGATGCATGTATCTTTTTTAATTAGTTTTTATGTCCTTTGGGTAGATCCCTAGGAGTGGAATTGCTGGGTTGTATGGTAGCTCAATTTTAAGTAGTAAGTCTGAGGAATCTCCATACAGCTTTCCATAGTGGTTGTACCAGTTTGCATTCCCACCAGCCATCATCACTGCATCCTTGCCAACATTTGTTGTTGTTTGTTTTTTTTTGATATGGGCCATTCTCACTGGTGTGAGGTGGTATCTCTTCCTACCCGAGTTTTGCATTCTTTCTCTCCCCCACCCCCTGCAGAATGTCTCTGATTTATAGCTATCTGATTATTTTTGTTTTGTTTTGTTGTATTTTAAAATTTTTTTTTCCTAGACCCCTTATTTGGTTTCCCAATATTCCTTCTGTAAGTGAAACCATCTGATATTTTTCTTTTTCTTTCTGACTTACTTCACTGAGCAAAACATTTTAAACATCTCTGTCCTCATACTGGATTATGTTATCTTTTGGCATATAGTCTTTCTTGCTAGAACTTTGAGATTGTCTCCAGACTTGGACTTCTGAGTTCTGGAGTTTTTCAGATCTGGTCTCAGTGTACCACCTTATTTTGTCATTTCACATATTCCATAGTGAATAAGTGGCTGTCATATGCTCTTTAAATTCTGGCCTGGGACTCAGTGAGATTTCCATGAGATTTCCATGGAAATTCTAATCCTGTTGAGTTTCAAAATGTGTAGCAAATTTTACATTGAAGTGAAGAAAAAGACTGAGAAGTTTATCTTCAAATGATTTGGAGAGAATTACCTGTTAATTTTGTGAGGGAGGAGAACAGGGGATGACAATGCCTCCTAAACCTGTCATTACCACATCAGCCACCTTCCCATTGATGAAGCTCTGATTATGACAGCCCATTTTGTATTATTTACTATATATACACTCAACGCTAACAGCCAATGTTAGGATGAGAACACTGGGTCACTTTGCCCCTTTCCTTCAACAAAATATATTTATCCTGAAAGAATGGGGCCTCCCTGGTGGTGTAAGGGGTTAAGACTCAGCACTATGAAACTATCTGCAGCCAGTACAGCATTAGTGATATCCCTAAGCAGGGAACTAATCCACATGGTGCAACAGACCTCTCCTGTGTCACCTTCTGCTCAACAGTGTGTATATCAATCAGTTCCTCCTGTTCTACACCCAACTCTGTCTCTGGTGAATCCTCTCACGGCCTCCCCAGACACATACACCTCTGGCCTGTACCTCAGCTCTTGTACGCATAAATAAATAAATCTTTTGAAAATGATAAAATCAAGAATGTGCTTCATGTAAACCATCTCTCTGGTTGGTTGAAAGTAAACCTTGTGGTATTGAATAATTTGTGTTTTTCTAGCATCACTGGTGTGGAAGCATTTCTCCTTTTATTTATTTATTTTTAAAAGATTTACATATTTATGCATACATAACTGGGGTGCAGGCCAGAGGTACAGGGGTGGTGAAAGGATTTACCAGAGACAGAGTGGGGAGCAGAACAGGCTGACTGACAAAGTAACTGCTGAGGGAAGCAGCGGGCGAGACACGGGAGGTCTGCCAACTTCTGCCATGTGGATCACTTCTCTGGCCAGGGATAGAACTCATGCTGAAGCAGTTGCAGCTAGCTTCGTAGTGCTGTGCTTTAACCCGTTGCACCACCAGGGAGGGCCACATTTCCCCTTTTCAAGTAAAAATAATCCTACATGAAAAAACGAGGGTATGTGGAAATATGATCTGAGCAAGTGTGGCATGTTCCAAGAAATACGGAAATAAAACATGGTTCTGGATTTCATTCTTACTTTTTTCTTGAAAGGACCTAATGACTTAAATTACCATAGATTATTTCAATACTTTAGAGGTGTAAAATGACTTTTCCAGATTATCTAAGTCAACTACTTTATTTTCACATTGGGAAACTAAGGCCCAAAATAGGGGACTTGACAATGCTTAATTTCACATGGATAATGAAAAGAAGAACCAAGACCTCAGGAATTATGGTTTCTCCTGTTATTCTGTAGTTCACAGCTGTTTTTCATGGCACCTAGCTTTTGCAAAGTTATTTATTCCATTGGATATAAATGGTTTTTTTTTTTTTTTCATTTTTTTATGACCTCACTTTATGGTGGAGCTTTACTCTGAAGAGAATTAGTTCTTATTGATATTGAGAAATTGGGCTTTTTCCTGTAAGCCTGATCAGCATTGAAAAGATGGAGAATTTCGCCCTCTAGTGCACAGCTAACTAAAGTGCAACCATTTGTCCAAAATTTTTTATTACCAAGGAACCTCTTGTTACAGGAAGTGGATATAAAAATGGAGAGGTAATGAGTAGATGTGATCCAGTGTGACAAACTACTGGCTGTGTTTTCTCTTTATGCCGTGATTTTCGGGAGACCTCAGGTTACCCTGCCTTAGGTTCTCTTAAATTGTTGCCTAATGGCTTTTATTTTCAAGTATATGTGACATTTATTGCAAGCTTCTAGCAAACGCTATTTAAAAAAAGCTTCTTAGGATCTTGCTATTTTATTTCGTTCTTATAAGCTTTATTACAATTAATGTACATCTCTCTGTTCTGTATCACTTATACTCTTGTCAGGGTGCCTTCCTTCCTGTTCATAATGACCTTTAAAAAAAGTCATTCAAACTGCAATTCAGAAAGTTGTTTTTTATTTCTTCATCTACTCTGTAGAGTAATAATCATTTTTTTCATGCATATTTCTCATAATTGGAGGCAATAGTTAAACTTGTGCTTTTTTGTATTTTGAGTTAGTTGAATGGCAGTTCCTGAGCCTTTGATTTTCTTAGGTTTTATTTTTTGCACACACAAAAAAGTGTAGTCAAGTTTAAGATAACTGCTTGATCTCTCTTCTGTAAAGACACTTCATGTGTTTATTTTTCAGATTCAAGTTTAGGGCTTTTTCAAAAGTAAAGTGTCTGAGGTGAACCATCACTGGCAAGTTAGAATTAGAGGCATGTTGACTGGATTAAAAAGATGTGCTACATATATACAATGGAATATTACTCAGCAACCAAAAAAAAGAAACACATGTCTTTTGCAGCAACTTGGATGGAGCTGGAAAAGATCATGCTTAGTGAGATAAGCCAGAAAGAAAAAGAAAATTACCGGATGGTTTCACTCATAGTGGGAGTATAATGGACCAGGCGAGAAAATAATAAGAATAATGAACAGTCATATACCAGAGACATTTTGTGGGGGTGGAGTGAGGAATGAGATCAAGTGGGAGGGGTGGCGGGGAGGGAAGTGCACGGGACTATGGTGATATCACACGGGTGACTTGGTGATGGGAAACCCACAAGGATTAAAATTGAGATTTAAAAAATGTACAAAATGGGCCCTCGCTGGTGGCACAGCGGGTTAAAGCACTGCACTGAGACGCTAAAGCCACTTCCGCATGAGTTCGATTCCCGCCTGCCCCGGAGGTGACCACATGGTGTGGCAGACCTCTCCTGACCCACCCGCTGCTCCCCTCAGCAGTGTACTTCGTCAATCTGCCTGTTCTGTTCCCCGCTCTGTCTCTGGTGAAGCCTCTCACCACCCCTGAGCCTCTGGCCTGTACCCCAGTTCTGTATGTACAAATAAAAAAATCTTAAAAAAAAAAATGTACAAAATAATGTAAAAATAAGCTATTATATTTATAAAAAAAAAAAGAATTGGAGGTATGTACTCATCTGACAACCAAAGAATATATGGGATGTTTTCTGATATGCATTAACAGTTTTCATTAATTGCAATTCTTTTTTTTATAACAGTTTATTTTTACATCATTTTGTACATTTTTTTATTTTTTCATCTCAATTGTAATCCCCATGGGTTTCCCATCACCGAGTCACCCGTGTGCCATCACCATAGTCCTGTGCACTTCCCTCCCCAACCCCCCATTTTTGATCCCATTCCCCACTAATTGCAATTCTTAACCGTTTTCGTCTTCCCAATTAAAAGAAGGAAAAAACCATCAACTTGTTTTACCCAATAAACTCCCAGAATGCAAGCATCCTGCTAATGTGCCTATATATAGCACCTTAATAATAAATTAAACTTTTTTCTTTAGGTAGCCGTGGAACATGGTACAAATGGAATGAAACCAAGAAAGTATGCATTGGTGTTTGCTTATATAAAACTAACCTTTAAGTGTTCAATTTTCTGATTACAAAATGCTAGGCATTCTGCAGCTTGGGTCTTTGCAGGTTTAGCTATGATGGATTGTTTTAATCAGCTGTTTAATCTGCTGCTCACTTTTCCTAATGGTAACCAAAGAATAATGGTAGCCCAAACACTGGAAATAACATTTCATTTAAGTTATCTTACTTTCAGGGAGGCAGCAGTGAGTGGAGGTGATTACTTACTGTTTAGTTGCTCTTTTCACTTGATACTTATTGCTAGTGGCAGACCTAAGCAAAGGAAATAGGCATTGTTCTTTATTTTTATCTAAAACACTACCACTACCCTGGTTTTGATATACAAGAATTAGTAAGCAGAACCTTTCCAGAGCAAAATTTTCTGAAGGGATTACTTGGTTTTGAACCCCTCTCTGTTTTAATAACTGCAAACATAATGTGTGATCTGTCTTCCCTTTTAGAGCAAAGCCGGAGGGATGATTTGGAAGCCCTAGGCCATATGTTCATGTATTTTCTTCGAGGCAGTCTACCCTGGCAAGGACTCAAGGTATCCTTAAAAGTGCTCAGTGGGGGGCTTTGTTTCAGCCCTTAGTTGTTAATGAAAGAGATGCTGGTTTGAAGTATAAGAAGCGCAAAGGGGAAGATGGCTACAGAGATGAAACGTGGGACTAGTTACTTTAGTGTCTACTCTAAATGCTCACTTGGTCTTCTATTAATCCTCTTTCTTGTGTTTTGGTTTTCCATCTCTTCTCTCACCCTCCCAGCCGTGGCAGTGCTGCTTTTCTCTGTGTGTCAGTATTTTTCTTCCATTGCCATTGTGTGGCAGGGAGAGTGTTCCCAATGTGTTGGCAATTTCTGGAACAAATTGATGACAGCAGCTGCTATGCATTTTAACAGCAAGGCCAGCAGGGCTGGGTGTGGCTCTAAGGGGAATTGGAAAATATGTGTTCATTCTAAGTAGGCTAAGGGCCCATCTAAACTACAATGAAAATTCAAGCTACCATCACTGTTCAAGTGTTTTATTGAATAAATGCCTGTGCAGACAATAGCTATTTCATGTGAAACAAGTAATTTAAATAGCCTCCTTTAGGTAGGTATCAGTACAGTACATTTGTGTCAAAGTTAACTTTTAATTATAAGTATTGAAATTATTTTGTGCCTCTGGCTGTTAGATTAGGAAATGGTACACTTCTAATCCATTTTAAGTCCCATTATGTAGTTAAATATGAGACATATTTTTTGACTTGTAATTTATTTCAACATGTTAATATAGAAAGAAGATTAATCAGTAGCTTTGGGTACTCCTCCACCCCCTCCTTCCCTCTAGAGGGGCAGAATGATTCATTTTGCTGTGCTTTCTAGGACATTCCAAAAAGTAAGGCTTCTTTCTACCCCTCCCCTTGAAAGATATTTTTTCTTTGCTTTTTAGTTTTTCTCCCTGTATCTCCATGGTTTTTTCCTAATTGTATTTATTTTTTTAATTATTATTATTATTATTATTATTTTATTTTACAAAAGTTTATTTTTACATCATTTTGTACATTTTTTTTTCCATCTCAATTGTAATCCCCGCGGGTTTCCCATCACCAAGTCACCTAATTGTTATTATTTTTTATTTAAAAAATTTTTTTAGATTTATTTTATTTGTACAGAACTGGGGTACAGGCCAGAGATGCGGAGGGTGAGAGGATTCACCAGAGACAGAGTGGGGTGCAGAACAGGCTGATCGACAAAGTACACTGCTGAGGGGAGCAGAGGGCGGTCAGGAGAGGTCTGCCTCCCCATGTGGATCTCCTCCAGGGCAGTCAGGGATCAAACAGGCTTAAGCTTCTTTGTGCTGTGCTGTGCTCCCGCTGCTCCACCAGGGAGGGCCCAGGGAGGGCCGTATTTATGTTCTTATTGACAGCTGTCATTGCCACCTCCTATTTGTCCCATCATATAGCCAGACAGTGCTTTTGTGTGTTACTGCTTAAACTTTCTCATGGTCCATGGATTTTTTTTTTAGTGGTAGTTGTGATGTAAAATTTCTTCAGCTTTACAACACTATTGCTTAAAATTGGGTGCAGCATACTAGAACCTCATGAGAATCCCTAGAGAACACTGTTGGTCTGAGTTCTGGAGCCCTCTCTACAGTCATGAGCATACCAGACTTGGCTGCTTTGAGCCTCTGACATATGTCAAACCTGTTAGTCATGCCTGTATCAAAAATAACTTTTCCCCTCTGAAAACACATTGTGAAAAGACATTGATCTTGTTATATTTTCAGTTTAACTTCTCAATAAATACATAGTACAACCACCTATCTGCACCACTAGAATTAGCAATATTTTTAGTCTTTTCATAGACTTGATCTAAGAAGAGAAAGGCTAACTCACTACTTAACCCTAGTGACCCACAGGATTACTAAGAGAGTACTAAGCTTCTGCAGTCCCAGAATATTGCTACCTAATATTTTTATTATCCTAATTATTCATCTCATTATATTTGTTGGTATTTGAGACTACCGAATATATTTACAAGCTTTCCAGAATAGAGCAAATGTTTATATATACATAAATACATCATCCCTACTACATTTCTTATTTGTTAGTGATAGAGGAAAGTTTGAGTGAAACAGTCATTGTGTCCCCAAATATTTTGGACCTCCCATAGTTACCGCCTCTTTCCAAATAGTTTTTTCTCTTTACTCTCTACAGGCTGATACATTGAAAGAGAGATATCAGAAGATCGGTGACACCAAAAGGAATACTCCCATTGAAGCTCTCTGTGAAAACTTTCCAGGTAGGATGCTTAAAAGACATAGCCAGTGTGACTGAAACTTAGAAGTAGGTGGCAACCATGACCTGCATCTCTAGATAAGAACATCCTCCCTCTGATTTGTATTTCCTTTTATTGTTACCTAGACCAAGATAGGTTTTATCACTTCTTTTGATCCACACAGAAAATAGCTGTCAAATAGTTTGCACAAATATTTATTGCTTGACCCAGGGCTTTTCCCCATGGAAGCTTTCAGCTAATGAGATGACCTTTCACCTCTCTTTTAACAGAGGAGATGGCAACCTACCTGCGATATGTCAGGCGATTAGACTTCTTTGAAAAGCCTGATTATGAGTATTTACGGACTCTTTTCACAGACCTCTTTGAAAGGAAAGGCTATACTTTTGACTACGCCTATGATTGGGTCGGGAGGCCTATTGTAAGTATCCTCTTTTTACCTCCTCATGTCAGGCCAGCACTATCCCACCCCTTTGGATTTGCCAGATTTTTTGCTTAAATCTTTGGGAAAATAATTCCTTTGACTATACACTTTACATTTGCCTGTCTTTTCAGGGTGATGGCATAGTTTGCTTTTACTAGCAGTAGCAAATAGGAATAAGTTCTTTTTTTTTTTTAAGATTGTCACCAGTATGTCCTAAAATACCAGAATCCCATATATTCTTTTAGGGTGTTTCACTTCTGTAGGGTTGGAACCCAGCTCATTAAGAAACTTCCAAATTTGCTTATCTGATCAGGGTTCTGTAGGGCCTGAGTTATATTAAAAAAAACACCACGACAGGACAGTTGTTTTCATTTATTTATTCCCTAAAGATAAGCTACTCTAGAATAAACTTTTAGAGCTACATGTCTTTTTGCAGGTATGCAAACTGAGATGACAGGAGGATTTGAAACTGCTCTTGGGAGCTGAAAATTATAATATACTATCATTTGCAGAGGCATTCAATTGGACCTGTTCTCCCCATTTGACTGACTGTTATGTTTTCCCAGCCTACTCCAGTAGGGTCAGTTCATGTAGATTCTGGTGCATCTGCAATAACTCGAGAAAGCCACACACACAGGGATCGGCCATCACAACAGCAGCCTCTAAGAAATCAGGTGTGTATGGGATTCTTGTTTCAGACATTTCCCGTTTTCATGGCTAATAGTAAAACCCAAATTCTTCAGCTTTTTTGTTTAAATCTACTTTAAAGGCAAACGGCTTGCCCCTGGTGTGGTGGGGCATCTCTCTGGATTGTGTAACAGCACTGAGATACGACTAGGTGCCTTGCATGAGACATTCAACCTAGAGAATCTGGGCCTGTTACAACCTGTTGGCTGATAAAAGACCTGACTCTTTCAGTTAGGGCCTAACTCTTTGAGTTAGGACTTGAGGCAGCCTCCGACAGACCCAGAGGATATACAGGGTTGCCCACTTTGGGTATCACCTATAGTTGAGTGTGGTGCTCTTGCCATTGATGGTTTTTCCTTGCTGGTTAAGGATGGGGCATTTGGACTTCTAGCTGACGTAGACATGCACTGGTACTTCTACCCCACCTTTGTCCCTGTACCCAGGTTAGCTAAGAGCTAGCTAAGATCTGCACTGGACCTGCAATGATGACTCAGCATTGGTTTAGGTCACTCCAGAAGAGGAAACCATCTTTCCAGTGTTCATTGTTTGGGGAACTAGTGATCTGAATGGGAGGCCTATCTCAGCCTAAAGATACATAAGAAAAAAATCGACAGATCTGACAAATTTGAGAAAAGCGGAACAGAGAAGTAAATATGACAATGTTTTTGTCTTTATGTTACATGCATTGTTTTGTTTTGGACTGGTAATTATCTTTATTTATTTAATTTTATTTTTTAATATATTCATTATATCGTCCTTCATTTTTGTACAATGTATGGTTTCCCCATGAAGTTCCACCACCAATTCACCCGTGCACCATCACCATAGTCCCTTGTGCTCTTTGCACGACTGTCCTGGTCCTTCTCCCTCTTCCTCTCCTACAGAATGTCTCTGCTCTATAGTTGCCTGACGATTTTGATTTTTACTTATGATAGTTACTTTTTCCCCTTGATTCCTTATTTGTTTCCTCTACAGTCCTCCTATCAGTGAGACCATTTGTTATTTTCCCTTTTTTTCTGGCTTATTTCAGAGCATAATCCTTTTCAGCTCCATCCATTTCCTGTAAAAGGCATGAGTTTATTCTTTTTTGATCACCAAGTTATAGTCCATTATGTAAATATACCACATCTTCTTGATCCAGTCATCTATTTTTGGGCAGCTGGGTTGCTTGTATAGCTTACCTGTTATAAATTGTATCACATATATTGCTAAGAGAAAAATGAGGATTTTGGTAAATGTATGTACACAAACATATCTACACACATACTATGTACACATACACATAACCATCAGCACTTATCAAATTAGTCTGTTCTCCCTTACCTGGACCTCTCTTTTTTGTTCACAGTCATTTTTTGAGTTAAATGAAAAATTACATCATCTCATAGATGTAGGGGTTGAAGTGCATATGTCAAAAATACTATATAGATGTATATGTTCTCACACACACACACACACACACATGCACACATAGTGAATTACATAAACAAGTATCGGTAGACACACCAATAAACATTATTCTCAGCAACATGTGTAATTTGGTGGGTAGGGGAAAAATACGTAAAGGAAAGAATTCTGTTGCTAGGATTTTTCAGCCTGAATAAGTAGGAAGTAGTTGTAAAAGTTGGAGGAGAAACTTGGAGTTCAAATTTAGATGTCTTCAATTTGAAATACAATACTGTCAGTATATTTGAGTTGAAGATAGCTATCAGGAAGATGATGGCTCTCAAAAGAGCTAGAGAGATATTTGGAAATCAAGGCATAGAGATGACATTGATGGTAATGCCTAAAGCGCCTCCTTATTCTGGGTGAACCTGCCCATCAGTCATGAGTTAGTGGTACACAGGAGGATTTGCAGGCTGTTTAGTCCCATACTTAGACAAGGAGGAGAGAGTAGGTTTTACTTTATCCCAAGACTACCTTTTTGGGTCCTCATCTTTCTCAGATACGTAAGTCTCATAAAGGCAGAAGTTTTTGTTGTGTTCACCTCTATATCTAACACCTAAAACAATGTTTGCAGCATTAGGCACTTGATAAATAATTGTTTGAATTATTAATCTGTCAAATTACGATTGTAGGTGAAACCTGTTTTTTTTTTTTTAAATACAGACTTTTATTTTACCTTCTATGAAAAACAAATTTTAAACTTTGCTTCCTACTTATTTTCATTCCCCCAAGAACCATTCTGTCTTGTTTGGCAGCCAGAATAGAGCTAAGTTATCTGTTGAAGGGGAGGGATGGAAAAAAAACACAGCATGTTCTTGCTGCAAAGTAAGCTTCCTTGATTGTAATAATTCTCCTCTGCCATTAGGATGAGAACTTTGCTTTGGTGGCCTAGATTGCAGGTATGTTGAATTGAATACTATTTGGTTCTTAGGTACAGTAATAGACCCCAAGTATGGTTTTCAAAGGATACATTTAAACTCATCTATATAAGACCTGATTTTTAAACTATTTTAAGGGCCTCCCTGTTGATGTAATGGTTAAGTCTCAGCACTGTCACCTTCACCCCTGAGTTCCATCCCCAGCCAAGGAGCTAACCCACATATGGCACCCCAGACCTCTCCTGTCTTGCCCACTGCTCCCCTTAGTTGCTCCCCTTAGCTGCATATTTCAGTAAATCTGCCTGTTCTGTTCCTTAGTCTGTTTTTGGTGAATCATTTCACCACCCCTGACCCCACACCTCTGGCCTACACCCCAGTTATTCTATGCATAAATAAATAAAAAATAAATCTTTTTTAAAATGTTTTATAGCATGTACTAATAACATTTTCTTAACACTCCTCTCATAGAGGAGTGTGGTTAAATCATAAGTTTGGGTACAGTGAATATTTCTTTTTTTTTTCCTAAAGATTAATTTATTTGTACATACAGAACTGGGTTACTGGCCAGAGGTGCAGGGGCGGTGAGAGGATTCACCAGAGACAGAGTGAAGAGCAGTGAATATTTCTTAAAGCTAGAGCCATTCAGAAAGATTCCAATTGGGTTAGCTTTCTCCATCATTCTATCAGTTGGCATTTGTCCTTTCCCAGTTCCATGAATAGCAGATGTTCACCTGGTGGTTTCTCTGGCTCCTCTCTAAAGAACTCTGCATTACCATCCAGATAATGAAAACTTTAATAATTCTGCCTATTTCTGCCTGCCAAATTTTTCTTTGTATTCTAATCAGATTCAATCAAGAAGTAAGCCCTGCTGGTATCCAGAGATCTAATATTAGAGTGCAATTATCACACTGTCATAGGTATTCATTGTGCTTTTTCAACACATTAAACATAGTCTATTGTGTTCACTGGAATGTGCGTGCAGCAATATGCTTCTCTTTCAGAATGTAAAATCTAAGTCTGTAACAGCCCTTACACAGGTAAATGCCACACAAATGTACACTACCATGGCTCAGCAATTAGGATAGTTTCCTTTTTCTCCCACTGACCCCTTTCATTTAGCAATTGTGAAGCAATTATGTGAATCAAGGGTACTTTTCCTTTAAAAGGTTAGGGAAAATAGTTCTGTTCTGAGAATATTAACTCTTCTCATCAAGAACTATTAAACTATGTCAGACATGTATTCTATCCTTGATAATATTGAACCCTCAAAAATTACTTATTTATTTTTATAAACACAGCTATGTTTAAAGAGCTTGTTTTTGTAATTTTCTACTACATGAACTGTTCTCTTGAATCAGATCAGTAAAGCTGATCCTTTATCCTTCTAGGAGAACCATATTTAAATTATCTCAGTATCTTATAAACACACACACATACAAATAAAACTTAAAAGGGTCAAATCATAACTGAGTTCTGAAGAAGATAGGCCCCCGGTAAAAAAGTGGTTTGAATTCTTTATATCTAGATGCTAAGGGAATATAACAGCTTTAGAAAAATACTGTTTTAGTGCCATCATGTGCTTGCTTGATGACATTTGTCGTGAATACAGCTTTTCCAAAAGGAAGATCAGGCCATATTGCCAAGTAACCAAGATGACCAGAGATAATCATAATAAATTGGGTATCTTTTATCATTTTGTTTTTGGAAGTTCTGTAGTCTTAGAAAAACAAAAGCTAATTAATTCTACATAATACTGCTTTGTTTTCAGCAAAGTTCAGGATTTGCTCATTGAAGGGACGGATAAGGCTGCTCAGTGATAAATTGTCTCTTTCTGATCTATGTGTAATTTACTAATTTGCAGAGCAGGAGCTTAGGTGTAGAGATTGAACATGATATCCCTGTCACTCTCCAGCATAGAGCTTTATGCAGAATGGTGCTGTTCCTCCTTGTTTTCTGAAACCTTGACTCCAGGGGGGGGATCATTGAAACAAGCAAGTACAAAGCTGAAAATAAAATCGTCTTTGCTTCTTCTGTTCTATCACCTAGTCAGAGCTGCTTGCTTCTGCTCTTAATTATGTTACATATTAAACAGTCTTTTCTGTCTGTGTTCATTTTTTAGCATTTTGTATTTCAATAAATACCATGGTCTAAAACATCTCATACAGAGGGTCTTGATGATTCTGAAGTAATCCTACTTAGATAAATCATCATTCTTTAAGGGAGTGAGTTGTCTCACATCATTTTGAGTAGGGTTGGAGCAGGATTTGTGTAGAGAATTGGAAGCCTCTAGAGTGGTTCCTGTGATTTTACTTAGAGATTCACAGAAGTGATCGTCTTGTCTGTAGGACTACATAGTATTCGGCATGAGAATAATTCCTTCCATATTTTTGCCAATTATTTTAAACATCCTAATATTTAATCATATCTGTAGAATGCAGAAAGTCACTGTATACATACTGAATTGCATGAAATAATCCCTTATTAGTATAAGAAAATTGGTTCCATTCATGAGATTAATAGAAGGACGTTTCAAATTCTGTTACAACATACACTTTGATAACCTTGTCAGCTTTTTTTCCATTTCAGATTTATTGCTTATTTACCAAAAAAGTTATTTTTTTTCTTTAAGGTACTCATTTACCATTATTCCTATCTAATTCTTT